TTGCAAAGTCTTTTTAAACTTTGTTGCCTTAGTTAAAATTTTTATATAAATCAGGTTAAAGTTTTAGAGCTTTTGTATCTAATTAAGTCACAATGTTAAAATTTCGCCTGGAGAGAAATGAACATATTTGGACTGATACGAGTAAATGATTTTGGCCAGCCATTAAAAAGAAAATACATAATGAAGATTTCCATGAAGGGTATCCCATATTTTTATTTATTCGTTAGAAGCCTTCTATTTAGCTGTAATTTATCAAAACCGCCTTGAAACGTTCAATCGCTCCCGAGTTTTGGGGTTTATATTGCATCGGATACTTCGCATTGCTAAGATCGCCACTATTCGTTGTCGCAAGCTCAACTAACCGTAGAACATAGACGCATTGCTTCGACGGGGTCAATCCAAAGAAAGAGGGACATTAGTTGGCATCTGAAGAGATGGTGAGTACATTATCAGGATCTTTCGCGTGCAGGACATACAAACGTTGTGTATATCAAGGTCTAGTCTGGATAAGTGGGCAGTTGATGCCGATCATGTGCAATAGATGCGAGAAGGAGGCCATTATTCGTTAATGGCGATATGCGAACGGCGTTGTTGTTGTAGCGGCTCCTAAGCCCCACTCCGGTCGACTCGTCCGTCAACGTTGGCGTCAGGCTCAGCTAAGTGGAGGCCCAAGAAGTGTGCAACTTCCACCGGGTCTGTGCAAAGAGACAGGGGTGGGGTTCTGGGGGCATGCGAAGAGATGCCGTAGGTCATGCAGCGGCTCTCCGCTTGACGGGCACCCATTCAGGTATGTGCTTAGCCTGCTGCAGTAGCCATAGCGAAGTTGGGCTATTGTGGTGCGAGACCCTCTAGGCAGACAAAGTTCTGTCTCGTCCACGTCGGTTGGTTGTGTGCCCAAATAGCCATTCACGTGTCGGGAGTCTATGTAACTTGAGACCGACTCCTTGTGAAAGCCATTTAAATCCTGTCGGTATGCAGTTGGGTCCAGAGGTTGTTTAATGGGTCAGTTCGTAGACATGCCTCCTGACGTTCCTTGGCGAGGGCCTTTCTGCAAGCAATTTTCCGCGTCCGGACCAGTGGTTATTGGACTCTTCCAAGTCTAGATTTAGTCCGAGAAGATGGAAGAATCTGTTATACATTCCCATGACAGTCAGTTCTATAAACCAGAATGACCCGAGTTTTACTCTTTCAAGAGTTTAATTTCGGCGTCCTAATCTTGTTTCGGGGGTAACACCTTACACCAAACATATTCCACACCCTTCTGATTGGGGCGAGTCCAACCCCCCACCAGAAACATTCCAGCATCATATGCCTGAGAAAGGTATATCCGGATTGCACATCTGTTAGGTGCAATACGTGCACCGAATAGAGCCACCTATAGAACTATTGTAAACTTCGGATACATTCAGAGCAGATCATATAGTTTCCTTTGTGGCTGTTGTTTCCGAGAGGGTGGTTGTATGATTTATTTTCTCCGAAACGAAAAATGACACTTTATGTGGCACAATGCCGAAACCAGTTTGTCTCCAAACCAAATTTGACACAGGATGACGGAAATTCGTTCCAAAATGCATCACACAGTTTCTAGTCCCCTGTAGATCCAAGGGATGAAGCTGCGCCGAGTTGCGTTAGATTAAATGAGCTATGTAAGGCATTGGTGGTAGATCACGCTTCGTCACTTACCACATTGTGCAGTATCGTTACCACTTTAACTCCTGCTCCTCTTACTTTCACCAGCAGTGACGTTCAAGACGATATGTGGTTGCTGATGCTAAATAAATTGGGTCCAGCGGGAGCAGAATACCCCATCAAGGACTTCAATGATGGACGCAGCCCCCTCGTCCCCCTTAATTTCCGGTGTGTGGATATCACGGAGAGTGGTTTCACTACTAAAGCCAAGTAAATCAGCCAACAATGGGGTGTCCTATCGCCTGATAACTCTTCTTCGCCCTGTCGTGAAGACATTTGTGGCCTTAAGGTGTATCCCAGTTAAACGTTGACGATAACGTCCGGCAATGGAATTGATGGCCTGTGCACCCACTCTTCGCTGTACGGAGCTTAATCCTCTGTCATACGAAACCAAGGGTAACCCTATTTACCACCTGTATGAGGATCAAGCGGCAATTAGACATGCACCAATTCCGACGGTGAATAATCCTAGAATTAGTGACGTTACCTTTGACAGCTTACTCTTGTTCTCTGAACACACAACCGCAATTTTGGGCAAAGTTTAGGGCAGCGACATATCGCTCGACAGCAGCTTGGCGCAATCACAAAGAAACTTTGTTGGCAACACGTGCACCGTGCATACAAGGTAGGTAATTAGCCGGCCGATCTCAAGTTATGCTTCACCTGTTGGAGACTAGTAGGAAACAGTGTACGAATGTACTGACTTGTCCGAACTCCGCACTCCAAAGAGCAACGGGATGCTCTCTGGTATCGTCTCAACCGCAACTGAACAGCGGCTCCTCAACTTTCCCAGTCAGAGCCTCTTACTAGGCATGTCACAGTGCAACGAACTTGCGGACGAGATCCTGACAAACGCAAGCCTAACGCTGGGCCCGACGACATATCGACAAGCCATAAACGACATTCATAAGAGAACCCATCACCACGTTTAGAGAATCTCGCACCAGTAATGTCGTAATTGGAGCCCAAGCGCAAACCAAGAGCTTCAGCTGTCGCGAGCTAAGGTCTGGAAACTGCAGTCGACTTAACTCGACCCCGACGTACCAAATATATGTTCCGCTAGTAAAAGCACACCTCACGACACTACCCACCTCGCTCCTATGACAGTCGGGTCTAAGTATCCGGAACGACACTACAACACTAACCACCTGCCGACTCAAACCCATCTCAATTCGGTCCGAAATAATAAGTTTCCAGGGCTTCCGTTAGCTTAGCTTAACGGAATCGATTGATAGACTAGCCCATGTTGTTCCCTCACGACAACCATTATTTCCCATAAGAGAGACTGAAATCCTTAGCTGAAAACTATCTGTGTACATGGAGATCGCAAGGCCCTAGAACAGAGGTGGTCAATTTCGGCAGAGCATTTTTGTAGTGTGTGTGCAGCTGATGTCACTGTGTGCGTGCGAACAAGTTGTGCAGTTGAATGAAGCTTTCGCGTCTTCCCAAGCAGAACGCCCGTCGAGCAGACGCTGCCCAGCTTTGTGATAGCAGATAGAATAGAAAGAAAGGTTGCAGCAACGATCCCTGTAGGCTATCTCAACTGAAACAACCATTGAAAGATTGAAGTCAACTAACTGATTGAGCCAATTACGCTCAACAAGTATAATGCCCGTTATTTTATATGACGCAGAAGATGTCGCCGCAAGATCAACGGCCCTATGCGCCGGGCGACGGCATCCGATGGAATGACGAACTGTGTGGGCTTTTTAACATGAGCATAGTAAAGCTGTACGCATGGATAACGACGCTCCAGTGAAAAGATCGTTCTACTCGGCACCCACGGGTGGACAACGAAAGCATGGCCTTCTACGAACAAAATAAAAAGACAACGTGCAGAAGGATACGTTGCCACTCGATATGAAAAACTGGCGCAAATTCGCAAAAGAGAGAGGAAATTGGCAAATAGGTCTCGACCCAAACCGTCAAACGGAAGAAAAAGAACTGATTGAGGCTTATCAGTGGTGCTTCAGGTCTTGTAAATCCACCATAACATATCCTGGAAAAGGCTATAGATATGCAAACCTGTTCGAGGCACGTAATAAAAGCGGCAATACTGCAGCACTGATGAAAATTTGCAAAACTCAAGCAAGTTCTGCAATTCACTTCCGAGTGAATAATCAATCCTTGGCAATTTGAATTCAAAACGCATTTTGTTGATATTCACTCGGAAGTGAATGCAGAACCTGCCTGACTGTTGCAACTTCCTGATAAAACGTTGCTAGAAATTCACACCGAACGTGATACTTTAATAATTCGTGCAACACTGTGGTTGTGATTGCATCTCGAAAAAGCCCACAATCTTTTTTCGATTTTAGACCAGCTCTTAACGAAGAAAAGCCCATATCAATATTTGGTATCCCCGCAACACTAATACGGATACATATGTAGACTAACGTTGAGCACATATTTTAGCTCTGTCCATATTGAGATGGAGAAAGGCAAAAGATGTTGGTCCAGCGGGGAATGTAGACAATGTATAGCTCCTCATGGCAACAAAGTCTTCTTGAAACTCACGCTACCTAGGACCCATTATATAAAATTACCAGTATCATATTTCTATGAAAGTACGTACTAAGCATGTCTGCATTATATGTACTATATTAAAACGCATTTTCAATTTTATTTTTACAAAGAAAAATTAAAGATATCAATTTAATGAAGCTTACATTACGTTTTCTTTTTTTTTACTTGCAATGGAGCGGAACTGTTATGAATTACTCAATGGCTACTATATAGTAATTAAAAATTGCATTTAGGCAATGTATAGTGCCGAGCTTTAATATTGGAATTAACTCCTAAGAGACAACAGATGCTCTCACAATAACCTTTTAGTAAATTATGAACTAATTTGAATTGAAGATATTAAAACGAATTGTCATACATAAACATTCAAAACTAAAATCAATATATGTACATAATTACCTGCAAACCATACTTTCAGATAAATCTGAATATTAGAGATATCATAATTCCCCTTCCCCGATTTATTGTACGAAATTTCTAAAATGAAACGTACATTGCACACTTCGATCATTTGATGACAATAATGCTGCGCTGAGGAAATCTTTCCACAATTTTTTTAAGAAATCGTACAAAAATCTCTTTACGAGTTTGTGGCAAGGATTCGGGACACATTTCCGATACTCTTAGATTTCGGTTTGCAGGGTATTTGTATAGCGAAGGAATGAATTTCTAAACAGTTCCGATATTGGCACACCAAAAATTATACGCAGACAAAAAAAAAAAACAGGCATTGTTAAAAAATTTGAAGTAAATTAAAAAATTGCAATAGAAAAGGTTTGCATGTATGTAGAGTACGTATGTTGTTGTATGTTATATAATGCAATGTAATTTATGTATATTTATGATGTTTCACGTGTGTTGCTTTGATTTGTACTTTGTTCGTTTTCTGGAATGACCACATCAGCGGCGCTTGGATTTGTGATGGAAGTGCTACGTTCTCGCATGGCGATGGTTGAACGCGAAGACAGCGGTGTCGTATTGGGACTACGACCTGATTGCTGTGATTTACGTTTCAAAGCACGCATTTCTAAATCGTACACGATTTGCATAATTTTAACTCTGCTCTCTGCAGCCAAATCCGTTGGTAGTCTTTTCACAGTTTCATTCATACTTTCAAAGAACAAATCGTAAGTATTGCGCTCTCGCTTAGCTTGACTTAAGACATTCAATTCCAACTTGCCATTATGTTGCTCAGATACGCGTGAATAACAAATATCAGCATCAGAGGGCGATAGCGATGCAGCTGCTGATAGTGGTCCCGATAACAATGTTGTATTCTGGCGCGTCTTGTTACCCTTCATCTCGCGTATTAAGCTAAGCATTTCCGTATGAGCGTTTGTCAATCTTGTAGCCAATGATGTCTCTGATCCAGATTCATCTTGATTAATGGCCTCTAAGTTACGTAGTTGCTGAGACGCACTATATGAAATACATTTAGATATTTTTATTTGTATAATGAAGTTTATTTTAATTTATTTAGCTATTTCACACCCACCTATCTTCGAATAAACTGTCTTGTGCAATTCCTTCCAAACCTTCATCTTTATGATTTTGCAAAAAGATTGCAGTGGCCTTCCTGTGATTTCGTGAGTTGTGGTGAGCCAATGCCATAAGTCCCTCGGTCGTAACGCGAGTTTTGCAAAATTTACAATAACCAAAACTTCTATTCTCTTCTGGGTCTGGTAAAAGCCATTTATACAACTTAAATTTCGTGCCGCTATTAACTTGAGGTTGTGTATTTTCTGTCTTGGGATTCTTTGAGTTTTCAGTTCCGTTTTGTTGAGTCAGATACGAACGTATGTGATTAGCAGTACACTCATGCTTCGAAGCGAATTTTGTAGTGGGTACGAAAACACTTTGCTTACAGTAATTGCAATAGCCATAGTGCTCGCGGGTTTCAGTTTCGCTAAATGATAGCCACACATATTTCTGATGCCAATTCACTTCGTCTTCATCAGCGTCTTCCATTAATGGTTTCATCTCTTCCTCACTGACAGCACCTTCCTCACGTGAGCTGGCATTTTGGTTATTCTCCGTTTTTAAACTATAAATTTAATATAAATACATATACATAATATTTAAGTACATATATTTAAAAAGTCTTTAAAGTGAAAATGATAGTTTGTTTACATTTAGAAGCCACGTACCAAGTTTTTGTCGCTTTACTTTCAATATTTAATATCATTCATACCTTTTGCTCTCTTGTGCCTTCCTTCTAGTAAGAAACTTTTGCGTTGCGAATTTATGGCGCTCTGTTCGCTCGTGCACAGCAGGTCTGTATTTCCTCGAAAGTACCACTCGGCAAAACTTGCAAAATGTTTGCCCGTTCCTTGAACGTCTTATCCAGGATAAACTTACATGCTTCTCCTTAGAGACTTGACTAAATTCGCGAAACCTTAATAAATGTCCTTTATGTGGTTATTTAACAATTCTTGTATATACTTACGAATTTGTTTGCTGCTGTTGCTCTTTCTTTGCTTCTTGAGCTAGTGCATTTTGGGAAAATCGGTGGCGCTCGGCCCTTTCATGTTTGCCGATGTTTAAATTTTTGGTTAGGAGAAGCACTTTACAACATTTACAATAAATGTAGTCCTCATTGTCTTTGTTTCTCTGATAACATGGGTTTAATTCAAACCACTCATCGGTATAAATATCTCGTTTGCTGAAGTGAACAAATCTTGATTATTGAATACATAGTCGTATGTACATGCATATGCATGTATGTATTGATTATTCTTACCGTTTTAAGCTGCTATCATTTGCTGTGCGTTCATTTTCGTCACATTCTAGTTCCGCATTGGTCTCTTCATTCTGCTGCTTTTTTTCTAATTTATTAGTAGTATTATTGCTTTCAACACCACCATTTTCTTGTTTTCGTTTAATTGCTTCGCGGTGCGACTGTGATTTTTCATGTAAGGTCCTTTTTACGGTCGACAAGCCATACATAAAACGTTTCTCACAATAAGAACAGTATGCATATTTAGGATCATCTGGATCTGCACAAATCCAGCTATGAATTTTGGTATATTTGCTCCAGTCGACTTGTATGTTGTTAGGGTTTGATGGGCATATACTGATTCTGTGAAAAAGATGTAAATCTTATTAGGTACATATTCAAAAGGATATTTTATGAGGGTAAAAAACTACAAGTATCAAATATGAAAGTATGTATGTTACCTACTTTTTATCCTTTCGATAGCTAATTGCCAGAGCCTGCATATTTCTCCTGTGTAATTTTGATTTTAAGTGCTTGCGACAGCTGTGTTTGTCCATTACTACTCTGCAAACACGACAACAACGTTGGGAACTAGAGCTCGACACTTTATCGAATAATCTTCCTTTTAACACCTTGCTGTAATGTGTATAATTCAATGTGTAACAGTTAAAATAATTAGTTAATTGCCGATTTCGAACCTGGCTACATGGTTTTCTATTCCAGTTGCGTTTTCATCATTATTTACTTGTTCCGCTTCGTCATTGGCCGTTTCAGTTATTTCACTATTGACTTCTGTGTTACTATTTGGTTCGATTCCATTTGCTTCATTTAAAAACAATTTTTCACCAAGTCTATGCTTTGCAGATTGTTCATGCCTTTGTCTATTAAGAGAAAATTCGGCGTCGAAAATACATTTGCAGTATTTGCAATAACCCTTAGTTCCAATATCGTCTTCGCTATGCCCGCGTACCAACCAGGTGTGAGCGTTTAGCCAATTTTTCCAATTGTAATCGTTTAGTTCTTTGGACCTGGCCAAACGCTTCGATATTAATTCTGCATAGAGGCGTTCTGCATTATCTTCGTCAACTTCCTTTTTTATAGCCGATAAACCGTCCCTAAGAATTTGTATACGCAAAGTTTGTTTTAAACGATATTCAATAACCTTTCTCTATACTCACTCATCAAGTGATTCCTTGCAGCTGTGTAAGAATGCTTCGTAATTTTGATGTCTTTCTTTGTGTATTAACGCGGAATCGTGTCTTTGCAGAGAATAAATTCCCTCGACTGATAAATTTTTGCCACAATAAAGACAAAAACCAAGACGTTTTCCCGAACTACGCAACAGCCATGGATATGTCTTAATCCAATTTTGCCATTTATCAGTAGTTCCCTCATCGTCACCGTTTGTTGCTACATTAGCTTTATCCTGATCGTCATCGCTGGCACGTTCTGATACAGGTTCCAACAAGTTCATTGGATCTACATCCACTATAGTCCTTTCTTCGGGCTCAACTGCGCCTTCCATGCTCTCTATATTCTCGACATAATCATCGGGTTCGTCTTTTATATTTACGTTCCTTAAACAAACAAACTCCATTTTACGAATGAATTATGAAAAGAAATTGCCGCCAATTCCGTTCCGAACGCCGAAACAGAAAATTAGTATACAAACGAATTAGCAAATATCGAATTTTGTCTTACGAAATATAAAACAACATTTCAACCGTTCTCCTAAAAATATTTTTGCATATGAAAAATTATTTATGTATTATACTATATTTAAGTTTTCTCCGCGAACAATGCTACTGTAAACTACGAGTCAAAGGATGGTGTGATGTACAGACAGAAAGAGGACGCAGTCGCATAATATATTTAAGCGCTGCCATATGTTCAAAGTTAATTGATTACCCAATCGATAAATTTATCGCCGAAGGAAAGAGGGAAATAGCAACAAAGGCGACTGCTACACGTCCAATATTTATTGTGGTATTGGAATCGCGATTCAAGTTGATAGATCGCGTGCGTATTCGCGTCGTTCAATATTTATCACGTTAAGGCGAAAAATCAACAGATTTCTACATATCATCGCCTGGGTAAAAGATTGTCGTAAGCGTCATCTTGACGATTTTTAGGTTAAGAGGCATTTTTTTAAATATGGATCTTTCGATTGTTCTTATCACTTTTTGGATATCTTCTTTAGTTACCGAGATTACTAAGCCCCGCTCGGGTCGGTTCAGCCGTCAACGTTGTCGTCCGTTTGCAAGTTCGCAAGCGACTCGGTCAACATTTTGTTGTATGCGACGAAAAATTTCACAAACGGCCAAATTTTCATAGTTTGATGAAATTGAAAAGTTATTAAAATATTGTCTTATGTGACAAATTGTATGGTACGTACGACAAAATCACACCAATCCCATGCAATGGATAGTCGTATGTGTATAATAAGTAGTTTCAACAGTTTTAGCCTTTTGCTTACCTGCTGTGTGTGTGATTTTTAGTATGTCATACAGATGGCATTAAATTTTGGTAAAAAAAGAATGTAGAGCTTTTGAAAAATTGTGACTGAATCTTTAGCACCGATTTCCCAAAACCTGCCAAAAATTACATACAATTTTTTTACCAAAGCGACGATATGTAATGCTGTGCGCTGGCTAGCTGGAGAGCCTTTAGCATTTGCATAATTTTTTGTCTGCTGGAAAAATGTTTGCAATTTGCCAACAGGAAAACAGCTGTTCAAAAACAGTTGGTTCGAATTTACGCAAATCACAAAATCGAATTTGATGGTTTGGAAGTTAAAAATGACAAATGCGACTAATTAAATTTGTAAGAAGTAAGTAGTTATTTGTTTAATCAATAAACTGTGTCAGGATACCACTTTGTAATGAGTTTTCGTACGTTTTAAATTTTACACTTTTGAATGTAAACAAAAACTATATCAGCTGTTCGTCTAACTTGCCAGTTTCTGCAAATTTTCTGTTCGCGTACTGTTTTGGATATTTTTCTCTTGTGATAGAACTGGTGACATTTCGCCGGAATTTTGCTGTTGGTTGGTTTTTTACTGGAGATTTTAAACGAACGCACCCAAGGCAACGCACCTATTGAAAAATTTAATTGCGCTCGTTGTTAGTGATGTGCTGAATTTTCGGTATCCAATACTCGGTACCCAATACTTAAAAAAGATTTCGGTACCCAGTACTTCCTTTTCGGTACCCGATACCGATTCTTTACATTAAAACTTCGCAATTATATGCATTTCAAGTTTAGGAAAAAATTTTAATTACTATTTCATATGATATCGGCTAAAACACTTGAAGTTGTCGCAACAGAGAAATATTATTTTATCAGTTTCAATCTTAGTTGATCCAAGGTTCAAGAAAAATGCGGAAAATTTACGGATGAAGAAGCCTTTCAGCGGGAGATTCTGTAACCAGTTAGCGACAGGTTTCGGATCGATATCGCACTTGTTGACGTAAAAATATTTCATATCATACGTCAACAAAACAGATGCCGATTCGAAAATTTTCGCTAACTCATTACAGAATCTGCCCCCAGGCCCACAAAAATGATATCGTCCGATTAAGCTGGAACAAAAATGCTTCAAACAAGTAAGAGTTTCTCTGCATTATGGCTTCGAACCGACATATACATCTTTCATTTGAATCCGTATTAAAAGCTCTATTGGCTCCTACATACGGGTTTTCATAAGCGAGTCTCCCCTGAACAGTTTTTTCCACATTTTTGGCCCATGTGCGGTTTTATTCGAAACCTAAATGTTTCGGTACCGAGTATCGAGAGTATTGGATACTTTTTAAATCGGTACCGAATATCGATATATACTTAGAAATATTGACTCCGCACATCACTAGAAACAGCTGATTCGCGCCGTTTTCGCTTTTGTCCTTAAATGCAAACTCTTGGAAATTGAATTTGTGTTTCACAAATTTGATTTTAAGAATACGAAGATTGAAAATACATTCACTATCCCTTAAAAGCACCAAGTAAATGCAACAGCATGTAAACACAAAACAGCTGATATGCACTTTGACGCTTCATCCATTTTCACCCGGAGAAAAAGTCCGATCCAATACGTTCCAATTTTCGCTCTCTATTACCCATTTTGTTTCTGGGCTATTTTGGGCACCCGCAGGATCCCGCGTTGCGTACGGGAAAGGACCTATTATTTTGCTTTTTTCGACCGTTTTAGCTCCAAACGAAATTTATCTGGCAACACTGCTTTACTCAAGAGTCTTGCTATTTAAGCTGAAATCAGTGAAGAACGCAGAACGTATACTCAAACGCAGTCTGTATACGCAGAATTTTGTCGATTACTGGAGCCCTAAGTGTTACTTACTACAGTGTTGCCATTCATCAATGCCTTTTCATAAACTTACCTTTTTAACTACAATTTTTCATGCTATAATAGATTGTAGCTAAATATAAACTACTTAGTTTTCAACAAAAAACCTTATCCAATAGTAAATTTCAAATATTTTAAACGTATTTTGAATAGGAACTTATAACTTTTTTACCATCTGCAAAACTGACGAAGTGGCCNTTGCCTCTGGCTACACACTGGATATCGGAATATTGCAAAAAATAGCAATTATCTCTTACAATTATAAGAAGTGTTTGTTTACANGCCATCTATAGAAAGAAGAAATCAGCTGATACGAAAAAAACTACAGGAAAATTCTGCAGTGTTGTGTTTTCATCACAGTATATACAATAATAAACCTTTTCGCAGATTTTCACCAACTGGTCCCCGAGGAGTACTTTTGGGTTGTGTGCAGCGTTTTCGTTTTGCGAGCACGGCTACACNGGGGAAATTCTTCTAATGATTATAAAAAGTCCTTTTCGAGGATAAAATATATATAATTGTGTTATTTATGAACAAAATGTCGTTTAAATATAATATCAATGCTTAATTAAGAATAATATCAATAGTAAAGTACATAATTATTGCCTGTGTTTCTTTTAACTGGAAAATCAAATCGTAATTATAGCACTGGATGGAGTTTTCTTAAATGTAAATTTAAAATCAATAAAATATCCATTGTAAGATTATGTTTNAAGTGTTACTTACTACAGTGTTGCCATTCATCAATGCCTTTTCATAAACTTACCTTTTTAACTACAATTTTTCATGCTATAATAGATTGTAGCTAAATATAAACTACTTAGTTTTCAACAAAAAACCTTATCCAATAGTAAATTTCAAATATTTTAAACGTATTTTGAATAGGAACTTATAACTTTTTTACCATCTGCNTAACTGGAAAATCAAATCGTAATTATAGCACTGGATGGAGTTTTCTTAAATGTAAATTTAANCGTTTAAATATAATATCAATGCTTAATTAAGAATAATATCAATAGTAAAGTACATAATTATTGCCTGTGTTTCTTTTAACTGGAAAATCAAATCGTAATTATAGCACTGGATGGAGTTTTCTTAAATGTAAATTTAAAATCAATAAAATATCCATTGTAAGATTATGTTTTTATGAAAAACGTGAAACTTGTGAATTTATCATGGAAAATTCTAAACTTCCGAATATATTTAAGTCTTTATTCCAAAACAAGACAAGGTTGGTATAGTTATAGAGACTCTATTGAAGCCTGCCAGCGCATCCGCCCAGAGAGCTCATTAAGCACTCCCAAGTTTGAGCGACCATTACCCGGAGCTCAGCGGAGATACTCAACATCAAAGTATAGAATTCACAAATATGAATCATACACACATACAATAGTAATTGCTATGAATGACTACCGTATAAACTCAGCACACGCATTTGCTGGAGACTCGGAAGGTTATGGTGGCCATAAGTTCAGCCAGCACATTTAATGGTCCATTACCCGGAGCTGCTCCAACATGATGAGTAGATTTTAGTGAGGCTCACATGCCATTGCCTCTGGCTACACACTGGATATCGGAATATTGCAAAAAATAGCAATTATCTCTTACAATTATAAGAAGTGTTTGTTTACAAAATTACCTATGCCACTCTGCCATAGTACGGTTGTTGCTACCTTTCACAGTAAATTTGTATGCAACTCTGAATCGGCAAAATTCTTGCTCCTTCTCATTATCAACCCTGATCAGATTTTACCCCCCGAGGAGTACTCAAAAAGGTTTATTACTGTATATACTGTGGTTTTCATTTACATGACATAAGACAGATCGTGTCAGCTGACTCGGGTTTACATACCAGTTGGTTTATGTTCTTGACTAATTTTAAAAGCTCAAACAGTCAACGACGTAACGTAGACGCAGGTTGGCGCAGACACGATCTACCTTATGGGATTCGCGTGTTAACGAAAACTCACCACCGCATGGCGGTGACGTTGCCGTTGCTTCCCTCTCTCTATCTATCAGCAGTAAATTTGATATGCTGCTACGTACGTCAACCTACGTTTACGCTACGTCGTTGACTAACTGCGCTTTAAGCTTTACTAAGGCTGTATTTCTTAATTCATTCTGAACGTTTGGAACGTTTTGTTTACTTATTCTTTAGAACGTTCCTGATGATATGTTAACGTATATTTCAAACGTATTCTGTTTATTCTGGCTGTGAAATGGGATTATCTGGAATGTATAAAGGAACGCAGTAATTGACATATGCCATTATCAAAAAAAAAAAATAATAATTTAAATTGGAAATTTCCGTGGGATGAGCAAGTTAAATAAAAGCTTGTAAAAATGATTAAACTGTTGAAATATNGGAAGGTTATGGTGGCCATAAGTTCAGCCAGCACATTTAATGGTCCATTACCCGGAGCTGCTCCAACATGATGAGTAGATTTTAGTGAGGCTCACATGCCATTGCCTCTGGCTACACACTGGATATCGGAATATTGCAAAAAATAGCAATTATCTCTTACAATTATAAGAAGTGTTTGTTTACAAAATTACCTATGCCACTCTGCCATAGTACGGTTGTTGCTACCTTTCACAGTAAATTTGTATGCAACTCTGAATCGGCAAAATTCTTGCTCCTTCTCATTATCAACCCTGATCAGATTTTACCCCCCGAGGAGTACTCAAAAAGGTTTATTACTGTATATACTGTGGTTTTCATTTACATGACATAAGACAGATCGTGTCAGCTGACTCGGGTTTACATACCAGTTGGTTTATGTTCTTGACTAATTTTAAAAGCTCAAACAGTCAACGACGTAACGTAGACGCAGGTTGGCGCAGACACGATCTACCTTATGGGATTCGCGTGTTAACGAAAACTCACCACCGCATGGCGGTGACGTTGCCGTTGCTTCCCTCTCTCTATCTATCAGCAGTAAATTTGATATGCTGCTACGTACGTCAACCTACGTTTACGCTACGTCGTTGACTAACTGCGCTTTAAGCTTTACTAAGGCTGTATTTCTTAATTCATTCTGAACGTTTGGAACGTTTTGTTTACTTATTCTTTAGAACGTTCCTGATGATATGTTAACGTATATTTCAAACGTATTCTGTTTATTCTGGCTGTGAAATGGGATTATCTGGAATGTATAAAGGAACGCAGTAATTGACATATGCCATTATCAAAAAAAAAAAATAATAATTTAAATTGGAAATTTCCGTGGGATGAGCAAGTTAAATAAAAGCTTGTAAAAATGATTAAACTGTTGAAATATTTTATGCGTTTTAATTATCTACAAGCTTTCAAAATGTCGGTTTGGTATAATTATACACACTAAAGAGAATTGAAATGATTATAATATAAACTATACGACGCGGAAATTCAATGCTTTTTGTTTCAAAGAATTTAATTAAAATACTCACGACTAACATTTACTTTCGATAGAGAAAATAAATTAGGTGGACATTTACTCTCTCCCACAATTTTCATGCTAGTATCTTAACTGTGAAATCATTCTCCTTTAGGCTGGAATGTGTAAACGATATGTGGAACTCCAGTAGTCGGATCTATAACCGCTGACTCCTGTGTTACCGATGGTGTGGTTTCTTGTTGAAGAGTAGTAGTTGCACCAACTACCATTGTAGAATTTTCAGATGTTGTTGAAGGTAATGAAGTGGCTTCTTGAGCTTCTCGTTCACATATCGCACGCAACTCAAATTCGGCTATCAACTGAGAAATTCGACCCTTCACCTCAGCACCTAATTTCGGTGGTAGTGACTTCACAGTTGCACAGACGCTATCAAAAAATAAGTCGAATGTATCCCTGCATGGTTGAATTAGTGGCGAATGCTGCCTTTTGCGAATTAGGTAATACTCATTGAGAGCATTACGGTCGCGATCGACACGCTTGAGCAATTTGAAACGGTCTAACTTGAAACTCTTATTTGTGATGCCTTCAGCTAAAATAGAACAATTCGTGGTTGATTGTTGCTCTTGCGGCTTTAGTTTACTTGCAGAATTCCTCTTAAATTTTCTATCAGGATCTCGCTAGTAATAAGGAAGTCCCTCAAAATTCGGCTAAGTGCATTAGAGTGTGTGATCTTACTTACATCTACATTGTAGTCTGGATCTAATTCAATCGCCTGACCAAATTCCTGCTCAGCTTGCCCGAATTCCCGCCTGCAAAAAATGAGTTATAATGCTAACTTTCTACAGACTATATATTAAATTCTTGTACTTTCCGCACTCCATAAATTCAGGTTCATTTGTTTGCGATGGTTCGCATTCTGCATCGAAGGATTCGTAGTTCTGAAGTCTCTGATGTTTATATGATTTCTGATGGCGCTCCAAATGACTTTTTTTACACACCAGGTGCTTGTTACACACGGTACATATACCAACAGATTCATCTACTTTATCCGCCTTAAGCCATGGGAAATCTCTTTCCCAACGAGCACAAAACTTTTGCCTGGGATGTCGAAGCTCATTTAGGCTCTTCCGGACACGAGTTTTAATCAAAGGCAGCTGAGAAAAGCTAAAAATTATAAATTATAATCCTAGATACATACATATTCTAAAGTTACAAGAGATGGAGAAACATACCTTTCTTCCGTGTCGTCCTCGGTAGACGCATTTTTTTCGTTATCACTCATAGCTTGAAAATTTACTTTTCAAACATACAGTACATATATTACCAGGAAGTAGTTCACTGAGCAATCCTTTATGCTGTAATATTCAACTGTAATACTATTAAAATCTGAGAAGTGTAATGATTAGGAGACTTCATCTCTGTAGTCGCTTTTAGAGATGTACAAAAATAGCCGATTTCCTATCGAAACCAAAAACAAACAGAGTTCGACTATGGTCGGTGTTATAGGGCTTTCGCACGAGGCGATTTTTCAGGCAACTTTTAGTTGAAAGCAAAAATCGCCTCGTCCGAACGGCCTTTCAACTAATCGCTTTCAACAAAGTTGGTCGCCAGCCAAC